GGCTGGTGCCTTCCTTACCAGCGCTGGTGCCCACGCTTGAGGAGAGATCTGCACCCATCAGACCACCTGAAGCAGGAGGGAAAAAAGATGAGTGAGAAGACAGAACTGGCAAAAAAAAATAATTGGGGGGGGGGGGGTCTTCCAATTGCTCCCCCCCATCTCACCAGGTTCAATCAACTTGTTGCGCTGCACTTAATGACGCTTACATGTGAAACAGGGGCGAAGCACAAAAAAAGTGCGCAAGATTATCCCGCTTTCCCCAGCCGAGGGGGGGGGGGGGTCCAAAAATGGCAACGTCAGGCCCCCTCTGGCATCCAAGAAAAATGGCGTATTTTTAAAGTCGGTGCCTGTGTGGTTTCGGCATCAAGAGGCTCTGCCAAAAATCATATTTAGTTATGCTCCTGTAATATGAAGCAAATTGTACGAGGAAGCCAAGTATAATCACAGGGCTTATGGTGTGGGCAGGAGGCAGCTGACCAGTGAACTAAATCCAGCTTTTAGACAATAATAAGAGGCCAGGACCAGCCCTGGCCAGGCCACAGATACATCACCAGAAGGTGCACATATATCTATGCCTGGGTTATACATGGCCCCATATATTCCTCAGGATAACACGGCATGTCCAATTCGGAACTTTCTTCTTTATTTTTTTACAGCAGAGAATTAAACCGCAAAAAGGGAAGTTTAAAGGAAAACGTTGAACGACAGGAGATGGTTTGTAACGGCGGACAGGCACTGGCTGTGGAAGTGATTTTGGGATTCAGCTGCTCTGGTCGGTTATGGGGGGTTTAAAAGGCGGTGCCCCAAACGACCGACGAAAAGCAGCCTGGACACTCAAAGAAAAATCATTATATTCAATATTGCAAACAACACGACCAAAAACTGATGCTGCAGATTGTAATCGTACAGGAATTCTGCAGTTATGGACAATGGAGGGTGACTAGCTTTCCAAGGAGATGGATGTATAGCGGGGGCGTGGCCTCCCGTGACAGTGACCAATGAGGCGACGGGGCGGGGCCCACCTGTGTTGCCGGCACTGGGCGGCCGGTGTGTGACGCCGGGGGACATGCTGTTCCTCTGCAGCGAGGAGTGGGCCAGTGGCAGAAGGCTGTGCCCCCCCAGAGAGCCGCCCGGGTGGCTGTAGATCAGGCTGTTGGGGTTCCCCCCGGGGATGGACACGGGCATGTCATAGCTGGAGGGCGGGATGGCCTGCTGAGGGGGAGGGCACGGTTACTCGAGTTACTGGTGCTTTACTGGTGTGAGATCTCAGCTGCGTCAACAACATGTGGAAAACTCATCCCAGCATTTGCTTAATATAAATCCTGGGTGACTTTAATTATCGAGAGCATATCTACGCTATACCAAAGCAAAGGTGCTAAAACTGGTAGCTTGAAAAAAATCATGTATCTTTATCCGTGTACACAGGCTGTTTATGGATGGAAGGGGGTGTCGGCCAGCTGTCTGAGTACCGCCAGCCGTGCCCTGACCGGAGGCAGATCCACACGCGGGCGGGCCTTGTGATCATGTGACCTGCTACCGCTCACTCCGACTAACCCCGCCGCCCCTCCCTCCCCACTAACCATGTCTCCTGAGCGCCGTTTCCCCCCCCCATGGCAGGAGAACACGCCCCCCACTCAGGTAAACACCCACCCCCCTGTGCCATCTGTTGGCTCTCGGATACGGCAGCGCGTCGTTAAGTGGCACTGTGCCCAAGAAGGCGATTCGCCTGCAGCGTGAGTGAGGGATGTCATCACCGGGTGGGGGGGAATGATGGGGGGTGCCTTCTAATGGCTGCCACGTGTCCCGCAAACGCATAAACGGCCGTCTATAAGGGGTGTTCATCAGAAACCGGATCCCACCTCTGCCTTCTGTCAAGGCCTTGGCCAGCCTGGGTAAATATTATTCAAAGGAATGGCAGCGAAGGTCCCAGCGCCTGGCCACTTAAGGATGGCTCCCTTTCGCCGGCCGCCCGCGTCCCCCGCGTCCCATCCGCCCCCCCCGCGTCCCATCCGCCCCCCCCGCGTCCCCCGCGTGGCCCACCGGCCTCGGCTGCTCACTCCGGCTCTTTAATTACTTCCTGGCAAGCCCAGCTTTTTTTGCAGCACCCCCACCCCATCGTCCTCAGCACCCCCACCCAAGCGTCCTCCCCCGTCCCGCCCGGCCTGCCGACTCTGTGGCTGCGTGGGCCGGAAGCTTCCAGAGTCCCAGGCTGCCGCGGGGACTCAGATGCTCTTCCCATCTCACTCCCCGTCCCGTCTCTCCAGGGGGCGCTGTGGAGACCCGCGGGGGCCGACTCCCCACAGCTCGCCCGGGATGCGGGCTGCCTTTTAGCGCCACTTTGTTTTACGCACCTCCACACGCGCTCGGGTTCATTAAGCTCGTTTGCGTCGCGTGTTAACGAAAGCGGTTAAATCCTGTTTTGGCTAATTTATTCAGAGGAACGTTTAGTGGGGGGATGGGGGGGGGGCGGAGTAGATCTGGGGCAGATCAAAACCCTGTTTACTGGCAGAGGTTTGGACCCTGGTTCCATTAACCACTACACCCCCCGCTGGCCCTACGTGAACATGGCGTGTTCGAGCGAGGGGGAAGAACCAGGCCTCGTTTCTCTAGAAAGTGTGTCACATGGGTAAATGGTCGGGGGTGGGGGGTGGGGGGATGGAGTGCAGTGTAATGAGCACACAGACCTGTTCAACAGTGCAAAAAATGAATAAATAAAAAAATAAAAAGCAGAACACGGTCAATCAGGTAGCAAGTGGCAATCACGGACGAACACCCCCTCGCTCATAATTTTCCTTTAGTGCTGGGTCATTATTCTAATCAGCATTCTCTCAGGTCACACTCTGGGCTGTAAGCCGTCACGGCAATGTGGAGGAGAATCTGTTAAACTGCTAAAAAAACAAAAAACGGGTCAATTTATCTTTGCGGACGAAACTTTGTGTGTACAGTCACTAAAACAGACATAAAAAACCCCAGACAAGTTTGACATATATAAACCAAAAAAAAAATAAACGTATGATGTGTACTGACAACATGTGACAATCACATTTGGAGCCACAAAAGATTAGTAACTGGATTTTTTTAGAGCATAATTCTTGTTAGAATAACAGCTACCCTTTTCCTGGAGCATTCTGAGCCTTGATCAAATCTTTCCATTTTTTTTCTCTTTAGCATCTTTTTGCTCAATATCAACTTCCTCCATGTAAATATGGGGGGGAGGGGGGGGCCCGCGACGATTCCGGCTGGGGGGGGGGGGGCTGCACTCACACACAGTCTCTGCCTGCTGATCATGAGGTCGATGTCCTCGTTCATCTTGCGATACTTGTCCTCTGACTCGGGACTGTGACCCACCGAGTCGTCGGCGTCGATGTCGGGGCTCTCGCAGCCGTTAAGGCCCTTCTTCCGCAGGGTCTGGGGGGGGGGAGACAGTGGGACTCAGATCAGCAAAGGCCAAGGGACGGGGAGGAGGGGGTTATAGAGAAAAAGACGACTCCGTTCAGAGCAGGAGCAGAACAACACGACAGGGGCTCAAACGTGTGATTCCCTTGGAGTACCGTGTACATCAGTCACACACAGACGTGATAAATACATATACGAATACACAGCTGAAATATAACTATTTTAAAATACCTTGGAAAAGAAATATAAGTGTATTGCCACGCATTTGCTAAGCATGCATTGGCAATGGAAAACAGAGATGCGCTGTAAAGGGAATTCTGGGTATAACGACAGCATCCAAGAGCACTGTTTCCAACCTCATGGTTTTATTTTTGCAGAAAAATCCACACAAGACGAGGATGCCCCTTTAAGGCGGTACGCCACCCCTTTAAGGCGGTACGCCACCCCTTTAAGGCGGTACGCCACCCCTTTAAGGCGGTACGCCACCCCTTTAACCCCCTGGCTGTTCGGAATGAATGCTAACGGGCGCATTGTGTACTATGCGTCGTATTAGCGGCCGGAGGGACTTCATAATTGCATTGTTTCCCGGCGTTTAAAGGTGCTGCGTCTCTCTCAAAGGCCTCTCCTCCCAATCCTTGAAAATAGGGGATTAGTGTTATCTCCCTGGAGCCCCCCCCTTCTGCAGTGAACCCCCGCAGTGAAGGGGATGGTAATTAAATGCACTCTGGGGACAACTGCTTCAGATCCGAAGCCAGTATGGGGGTCCTGCTTCGGCAAATCAAGCCCCACCCGAAAATCAATATTTGTCTGACAAACTGGAGAAAAGAAGACATCTGCGCAAATTTTAAGGCGCTCAGAAGAGAGAGTGAAGCGGAAACAGGTTCAAATACAAACTGTAAATGAAAAGTTAAGTATGGCTGGGAAGAGCCACCCAGACTGGACATGGCCCCTGATTCCGAGATGCAGTGTGTCATAGGCCATTCTCATGAAACGACCAGCCCGGGGGGGGGGGTGGGATTAAGCCACTCCCAGGGCGGGGGTGATTGATGGCTGGCAGCCACGCTGCTGACCCTGTGGAATGCCAATCATCTGAGACATCGCCACCTGTTGGTGGCTTGCACCTGTTGCCCCCACCCCGAAAGGGTAAGCACGACAACCAATCACTGCCCTAAGATCCAAAAGATGCCTATATAAGGCTTGTTCTCCCCATCAACCCGTGTCCTACCGTGACTCTGCCCCCCCCCCAGCCATACCCCTACACCACACTTATCACCACGGGTAACATCCCTGGCATGCCGACACACAAAAAAAAAACTCAAACCTATTTAACTCTCTAAAATTGGATGCTGCCAATTCTCTGCGATGACATAATCGCTGAAGATCCATATGAAATTGCTATGAGCAGCGCAACTCTGCAGCCGGTGACGTGGCTCGCAGACGGCGCTGCGCCGGTGACACGCGGCGCCCGGACAGCCCGAGACGGGTGACAGTCTAGCCGTAAATCTGAAACGCTTCACTTAAAAAGGGAAGCAGTCTGACAAATATCTTACAACACAGACAGGCTCTCAGGAACATTTACATGACATTAGGCAGCGACTGCCTCTACGCTGCCTCCAGCCTCCATGAGACCCCCAGTCATATCGGCATGCTGGGATAGAGGGCCCTGCAAGGTGAAACCTCCCAGACTGTTATCGAGAAACGGCGATCAATCTGGGGAAGGGGGGGTGTGATCGACTGTGCCGGAGGCCCATGAAACAGGAGAGGGGGTGACAGAGTCTCTGTGTGCCCCCCTGATTCACAATCCCCCCCCCGCCAAAACACATCCGGCTCTCATCCCTTCCACAGCTTCCGCCTAATTACACAGATTCTTTGTAACCAGGTACATGACAGCCAGTGCCCTATGTGCCCTTTGTCGCCCCCTGCTGGGAGGGGGAGGCAGGGGGCGTAACTCACCAATTTCAGGAGTCTTACTAAACCCCCCCCCTCCCACCCCCCCAATCACCCACTGTCTCCCCTCAGATAACCTCACGGCTCCTTGTGGATCAGCAGCCCCTCTCCCCCCGTACAGGCTCTGTGTGTGTGTGTGTGTGTGCGTGTTCGCATTCCGGTCTATTCTACACTGACCCCATTTCCCTGGTCCTTCACAAAGGTACACACGCCAAACACGATTCTTCCCCAAAATTACCATCACTGCAGTAAGAAGGATGGCAAAGGATTCATCACAATGTACTGAATAGTGTCCATTCTAGGGCAGCATGCTGGCTCAGTGGGCCACTCTCTGACTTCACATCTGCCGGGGGGTGCGTTTGCTTCTGGGCCCCCCGGAGTGTGCGTGTGCGTCCCGGCAGCCCAAAGTCAGACCAAGCGTTGGCTCTGAATTAGGTATGGCGTGAGAGTGCGCGTCCTGCCACGGGCGGGAAGGAGTCTGCCTTCAGAAAGACACTATAAACATACTCGCCGAAATATCAAGCCACGCCGATGGGTAAGTGTCAAACGCCAAATTCCCCGGTTACTCAGTGTAACAACGCCTGCTAAGCAACACAGAGTAATAATAATAATGTTGTATTCTGAAATGCACCCAAGGCATTGTGGGCTATTTTGGGGGATTTTAAAAACAGAGCTGGCAGGGCAGGCTAAGCCCCTCCTTAGGTGGGCGGGCTGCGTGCCCTGTGGCGGGGGGAGCCTGAGCACACCGTCCGTCTGTCCTTCTGCCCGACAAAGGGCATCCTGACGAGTCTCCCAAGGCCCAGACGTGGCGTCCTCTCGCAGAGCAGGGCGGGACCGGCTCTCTCTGGCCGTGCCGGAGCGCGTCCAAGCGATCCCACGCCGGGCGTGTTCCCGGCGCTCCCAGGGCTCGCCTCCAGAGGCCAAAAAGTGGGCCGGACGCAAACGGCAGCTGTACTTATCTGGGGTCCGCCCGCACACTGGCGGTGAAATGCCAGCCAGCCGTCCTGCCCGCCTTCCTGCCAGAACCGTTTTTTTGGGCTTGCGGCTGGTAAATTGTGAGCCATTACATTAAAAAATGTAGGAGCATTACGTCTAAGAATGCATCTTTGAGGAATCGCAGAGTGCGGCCATTCTCATATCTACGACGTCGTGAAGGGCCTCATCGAAACTCACGTAAACACCAGGTCACTCTCTCAATTTGGAACTCTTTCTCTCAAGGTTACATTTTACACAATGTCTATAATATTTTATATCCTCTGTCTATAGCATTGGTTCCTGCTTTACTAGAAGTTGTTGTGTAGCTCTGGGTGTAATACTGCTTTCCCTTGTACCTGGACATTCACTGGAAGCTCAGCCTAGCTGCACTTATGCAGCTAAAGTAAATGTAAATCTAAATGATGGACTGGCATCCCATCCACGGCGTCCCCTGCCTTCTGCCCTCAGCCTCCTGAGATGGGATCCAAGCCCATCCCCTGTGCTAGATTAGCAGTTATGGACGACAGATGGCTGGGTATACCATAACATCACAGTATCCCAGAATGCACCTCTCCAGAGTAACAGGAATTATACGGGAAAAAAAAACAAAACAAAACAGCCAAAACCAAGCAAGCCACTAAATCCAACGGAGAGTCCCCCCCCCCCCACACACACACACACACAAAACATTGTTGCTTGTTGAACACAGTGGCAAACATCAGAGGGATGAAGCACGCCTTGGAAGTTTATTAAGAGCAGATGGGATCACTGTTTAATGGAGGGGGGGGTCGGCACGTGCCACAGGTACGCCTTGGCAAGTCAGGCTGGGGGCGGGTTGGTGGGGGCTGGGTCCTGCGGCCGCATGGCTGCCATGTGACACAGGCCGGCCGCACTCTAACAGCTGCAGCTTTGCAGCAAATGGCGTGCTGCTGGATAATTTGCCCCCCCCCCCCCCCTCGCCTTTCCACTTTGAAGCTACCGTGCACTATAATAAAGAAGCAGAAGGCCCAACCTTTTTATTCTGCAGTGCCAGTAAAATGCGGCTTAGCGCCAGGCCGCGGCTGCGGCAGCACCTGCGACGGTCGCCGCTGAGATGAAAACGGCAGCTGCAGGTATTCACCGCGTGGCTTAATGGGAGGCGATTAAACGCCCTGCGCCGCAAACTGCCGGCGGCGTGGCCAGCGGCCGTCATTCAGCATGACACGAAATTACGACGGCTGCGACAGAGGCAGAGCAACAACATCAGGCAGGAAATGAACAGAATTAAAAGAGCTGAAAGGGTTTTGCGGGACTGAAGGCACAAATCTTCCGTTTTTGTTCCGTTAAATACATACAGACGCGCTAATGGATTTCTCAGTATTGGGATCAGTTTATCATTGTACTATTGCGCTATAGTGGCTCAAACATCTTTAAATACATTACAAAAGATCACTGCTGGATTTCTGCATTATCTTTAAATGTGCTTTTCTTTGCAATGAATTAGTTTGTAGGGGCCCATACAGGGTAGCATGTCATTCAAATGACCCTTTGATGGCAACACGGCAAGTCCATCAGCGGCATTTAAATCAATTCCTAATTGATTTATTGTTAGATGTGACCAAAGGTAACCAGCGGGTTAGAGGTTAAATACGTGTCAAAAGTGTAAAAATTCATGTTGCGGACGTTAGCGATAGCATTCTTTGGGATTTAGTGCTTTAGCTACCTTTAGCTGCCTATATTAAAAATATACAGGGTTTTGACAAATGAGTTTTATTTTTGAGCTAATTAAGCAGTTTTTTGGCCATGCTTTTTAAGCATGGTGTATATAAATCAAATGCGCTCATCACTTTTTAGGGCAGCATTAAAGTCTGGATTTCGTTATTTTCCGTGACGTTATCCGTGACGGGTTTCATGTCGCTATCCGCCACTCCCCGTTTATCTTCATGTATTATTGGGGGATCACTGTGCACTAGTCACTATGCAAACACAATCGCTGCTCAGAATGCGACGATAAAAGAGGCACTTGTGGGCTCTGTGATGGGGTGGAGGGTGGCCAGGGGAAGGAGGGGGCCGTGCTTTTTGCCCTGGATGGAGTACAGGAGCACAAGGGG